TGACCATCAGGGGGCAGCTCCTGCATTGAGCATCTGCCCTCTGGTGGTCAGCGCCCATCATAGTGACCGGTCATCCTGGTCGTTCTGCTGTAAGGGTCACTTAGGCTTTTCTTATAGAGATAAAAAGTTAAAAGAGGATGGAAAGAAGTTCCTTGAAAATGATAAAAGGAAATAATGTCTCATTATGACTTTCTGGCCAATGTCAACATTTTGGAAGAGAGAAAGGCTTTTCAGAAGCTAAGTAGTGGATGGTGCAGACTGGCTTTCTGAAACTCAAAACTTTAATTGTGGGAGAAAATATATGATGAAATACGAATATCAGATGGAAAAGAAATTCAAGATTGAGCTTTAAGAGAGACTGGATGGCACCCCTACCCAGAAATTCAGGATGAGTTGTCTTGGTCAGAAATATACTTTTAAGGTACGAAACTGGTGTTTTCTCATCGACTTTTGTAACTGGGTTATGAATGTTCACATCTTTGCTTTACAACTCAATCAAGAGACCAGTCAGATCAGGATTAAATTATTGTATTTTTTACTTAGTCTAAGGCAGAGACCTCTAATCATTTTATCAGCCACAAAACAGAATTTACCACCTGCTTAGTTTATAAGAGAATTGGCAAAAATTCTCCCCCCCCCCCCCCCCGCAATTCAGTGCTGTCTAACAATGCTATAGCTAGATCAAAGGATTAGACATTTGATCTCTAAATCCAATATAATGCCAAATGAGAAGTGTAATATGAAACTTTAAGCCCAAAGAGTATTTTCTTTTTATATGCCTTTTCTCTATGCATTTTAATTTCTCTATATTTTACATCTTTAATTTCACTTTAAACAGATATTCCACAGGTAGACAAAACAATATGAAAAGCATGTCAATAAAATGTGAACAGAACAGTTTCTTTTAAAAAAAGGTATTTTCAGAAATTTTGATGGAAAACACAAGTTTTAGACATGGCAGGAATTAAATGCATATTTGTGGGAAGAAAGCATCAAAGAAAAGAGTCCTCTCACTTAGCAGACAGGTTTTGTATTAAATTATTTCAGGGCATACCATCCTTCACTAAGCATTTACTGACAGGCAATGAGAATTTGGGCCTGCTCTGTCCACTTCTAGCTGTAGTACTTTGGTCAAGTTGTATAATAAAGTCTTAACGCTGTAATTATTTTTCCCTGTATTTCATTCCTACTCAGGAACTACATAGGTCACATCATAGACTATTCCTTAGGATTACCTGAGAGAATCTATGCAGCAGTTCATAATGCTTTTTAAGTAATAAGTGACCAAAGGTTTAGCCATTATTAGTATTAATAAACTAAGCGTGGCTGAGAAATTTAAAATCAAACACAGGATAGAGGCATTGTAGTTTATAACTTACATAATGCTTTCTTATTAATGATTTCATTTGAATATCACAACCCTAAAGAACAGCTATATATTCCAAACAAGGCAGCTTTAATTCAATACTCTAAAATGAAGGTTTGGGTATATTGCTGGCACCAAGTCCTACTTTTAACTAAAATATTTGGATGACTGAGTAAGGGTGTCTGTTTTTCCACAGTTGTGTGGGTAATTGCCCATTTTTGCATTTTACTTTTCTACGAATAGTCCCAGTTGCAATTGTTTATATAAAAAGTTGTTCAGTCTATTAGATGGAGAAATATCTGGGCTCTAGAAGTAGGTTATATAGGCTGAGAGAATGTAAGATTCTATCATATTTATACAAGCCCAAAAGTCAATAAATCAAAGGAAACCTAATTACAAGTCACTCTAACGCCATTCCCAACTTGCGTGGTTTGCTGTGGCCAATCTGCCCATCTTCACTCATGTTGCTAAGGGATCCTTAGGGCCTCTTAGAACTCAGCGCATTGCCAGGACTCTCCCAAACGACACCAGACACTTTTTGGTGCACTTTTGTGTATGGTTTCACTTTGCTAATATGAAGAATGAACAAGGCTGGAAGAGAAAAGCTTAACAGCATAATTTGTTGAAAATTTAAACAATTAAAATAGATCAACACAAAAATCAAAGACTCAGAATGTGGGCTGTTGTGGGGGGAAGTTATAAATAATCACTGCTATTTGCCAATATGAGGAATTGTTTTCAGGCAAGGGGAAGTTTAGGAAAAAGGCATTGTGTTGTGGCATCCAAGAATAAGGAGTAAAGGAAGAGAAACAGAAGGGAAATTCATACCATGTTGTAAAAGAACGGATGTAAATCTGACCTGTGTACATGGGGGAAATGGTTAAAATTAGAGCAAAGTAATTTCCTGATTTCCACAGATGAGTGCACTCTGTCAAAAGTTAGTACATCCTGTCATCTGATGAGAAAGTAGATTTTCTGTGTCTACATGAAATTATATTTTATTCAAGAAAGAAGGAAATTAGTAGAAGAAAATTCGTATTATAATACTGAGATTATGTGAGAGAGAAAGGGAAGAGAGAAAGAAGAAAAGAGATAAGAGGGGGGAGAGGAGAGAGAGAGAGAAGAAGGAGTAGGAGGAAGAGGAGGAGGGGAAGGAAAAAGAGGAGAAGGAGAATGAGGAGAAGAAGAAGGAGGAGGAGGAGGGGAAGGAGAGAAAGGAGGGGAAGAGAGAGAGAGAGAGAGAGAGAGAGAGAGAGAGAGAGAAAGAGAGAGAGATAGAGAGTCATGTAGAAGTAATGGGAGGGTAGAATGAAGGATACATAACCTTATTATATCATAAAACAGTGGATAACCCCCCCCCCCCCAATCTATGGTATAGAGAACTGTGAAAGGTGATATTAAAATTCTTAAGGTACTTCTAAATATCTGAGGTGCATACTTAGAATCGACTGTAATGGTTTATAACTCCTTAAATGGTTCATTTTTCCATGACTGTAGAGATGATACATCTTAATGTTCAGTTTGATGTAAGGGTGAAGCCCTGTACAAAAACCTGATATTTTATGCCTGTCCTCCCCAAAGGCAAGTCCCATCTTCCTGCCCTGCCCGCCTGAGCTGCCGCCAAGCCTGTCTCCTTCCCACTTGGAGAACTGCAGCTGTGGCCCTTTGCTTAGGACGAGACACACAGAGCCCACGAAGAGCAGATGCAATAACCGCCTCGGCGATTTTGTTTCCTGCTCCCTGGTTTGGGGTATTCTCCCACAGAGAACCCCTCCAATTTAATTTGGACCCCAAATATAACCACAGAGTGAGGAATGGACTACCTCTCATCTCCTTGGAAAGGCTTGCCAGATGCAGCCAATTTTGTAGGATCAGTATGTTCCTTGCAATATTTGGGGTCTACACACATGACAAGATTATTCACTATTTCCCTGAAATTTAAATTTTAACTGACAACCTGGATTTTATCTGGGAACCCTGCTACTGAACTCCGGGAACCTCCGGAGTATCTGGAAGGGTCTTAGAAAGGTCAGGTGTTTGCCGCGAAGACCATGAGAGAAGAACTGTTGCAGGAAGTGGTCTCTCCAAGAAATCCTCTGAGTGGGAGCAAAACATAAGCCACCTGGAGTCTCCTGCCACTCTATCTGTAAGACCCCCTGAGGCGGAAAGTGAGCCAGTGGCCCTTGTCCTGCCCTTCCTTCTTCGGAGCAAGCATCTGAAGGGGTGGTTTCCGTACAGAAGAGCAGCTGGTGGAGTGAGGAATGGAGCAGACCCTGGGGAAGGGCCATGTGGGGTGGGGATGATAAAAGGGAGGAAACACCTAAAGACAGTGATATGCTACAGGCACAGTGCAGACCTTGAAGCGGCACTTACTGCACAAATGCAAACACACACAGAAACATGCCCATGATAATGAAACAAAATAGTTTTCCATTGCATAAATCAGCAGTATTTAATTTATAAATCTCATCTGTGGTTGTTCTGACAGAGTTTCTGAGTGAACAAGAAGGCACATCCACGGTCTCTGCTTGGGGGTGGCTTCGGGGGTGGGGGGGGGGCGGCAGAGATCTCTATTGGGCCCATGCAATGTCTGGGGGCACCTCTTTGCATTCGTCAAGAGGAACGTTGTTTAGCCGCTAATATATTTTTTCTCCCCCAGATTCCTACTTCAACCTGATATTTCTAGTTAACAGGATTATAACTCAGGTTTGAGGACTTATTCCAAGCCTGCCAAAGTTCTCGGCTGAATGATAATGCCCGGCATTTGATGCACCTCGAACAGAAATGGAATAATGCAGTGTTGTGGCATAAGTTTTTTCTTCTAATTTAGTCATTATTATTTATCTAGATGCTAGGGTTGATAATATCGTAGAACTTCTCTGTATTGGAGTGATGCTAAACTGAATCATAAAGTGAAGCCTTGTTAACATGGAGGGGGTTTTCTTCTTGGATACAGATGCTGTTAATGTAAAAACACCCAGGCATTGTTGTACATAACTCATGGCTGCCTCCCCGGGCAGGTCCCAGGGTCATGGAAACCAGTCAAGCTCTGCTGTGCCCGTCTGCCTGAAATCTACCAATAAAAATACAGTTTCAAGGACAAACCTACATTCCATTGAGAGGAGAAAGGAGGTGCGCTCTACACCGGACAGTCAGAAGGTTTTAAAATAATGAAATAAACCTGCCTTCTGTGACATGAAAGGGAACTGTAAAATGTGCAGTCAAGGTTACTGGCTCATTCATCTCAGGCCTTCGGAGATATGCATGTGGTGGATGTCTTGCCATTCAAAGAGGATCCCAACTCTGGGATGCTCAACATTCACGGTGTGTGGTTTGTTTCAGGGTTCACACCCCTTAACGTCAGAGCTGGTTATGGGGAGCAGAGTTGTTTGGAATGACTTTGCTGGCACTTAGGAAGCTGTGTGGGGATCTTGTGAAGACCCGTCCCCTGGGCTGTCCCTCCTAGTCCCCTAGCTGCATGTTGCTCTGTTGAAAGCAGAGGTGGTGAGGGAGAAAGAAGGCTGGGTGTGCATGTGGCCGGAGGCTTTGCAGGGCAGGGATGGTGTTTTGCTGTGCTGATTGTGTGATGACGGCAAGGACACACTGTGTGGTGTAAGGGCTGTGGCTCACTCACCCGTGCTGCTCTGGATGGTCCTCACGGTGGTGGTGGTGCGCGGCGGGGAGGAGGACCGCAGGGACACGCACTCGTCGTCCTGGGAGCAGCCCTTCTCGATGGCCCGCACGTAGCTGTGGCTCCGCATGCGGAAGCAGCCGGGCATGGGCAGGTCCAGCGCCTCCACCGCCTGCGACTCCAGCTCGCTGAACACCGACTCGCAGACCGACTCGAACTGCCCGTTCACTTCCATCTCGCTCACCTTCGGGCGCAGACAAGACGCCATAAGCTCCATCCTAAGGACAATTCTCACCCTCCCTCCAAAAGTAAGCCATACCCTGATATTGCAATCACATCACTTCCTTTCCTTTCCTTTCCTTTCCTTTCCTTTCCTTTCCTTTCCTTTCCTTTCCTTTCCTTTCCTTTCCTTCCCTTTCCTTTCCTTTCCTTTCCTTTCCTTTCCTTTCCTTTCCTTTCCTTTCCTTTCCTTTCCTTTCCTTTCCTTTCCTTTCCTTTCCTTTCCTTTCCTTTCCTTTCCTTTCCTTTCCTTCCCTTCCCTTCCCTTCCCTTCCCTTCCCTTCCCTTCCCTTCCCTTCCCTTCCCTTCCCTTCCCTTCCCTTCCCTTCCCTTCCCTTCCCTTCCCTTCCCTTCCCTTCCCTTCCCTTCCCTTCCCTTCCCTTCCGTTCCCTTCCCTTCCCTTCCCTTCCCTTCCCTTCCCTTCCCTTCCCTTCCCTTCCCTTCCCTTCCCTTCCCCTTCTTCCCTTCTTTCCTTCCCCCTTCCCTTCCCTTCCCTTCCCTTCCCTTCCCTTCCCTTCCCTTCCCTTCCCTTCCCTTCCCTTCCCTTCCCTTCCCTTCCCTTCCCTTCCCTTCCCTTCCCTTCCCTTCTTTCCTTCCCTTCCCTTCCCTTCTTTCCTTCCCTTTCCCCCTTCCCTTCCCTTCTCTTCTCTTCTCTTCCCTTCCCTTCCCTTCCCTTCCCTTCCCTTCCCTTCTCTTCCCTTCCCTTCCCTTTCTTTTCTTTCTTTTTAAAAAAAATCCAATTGTGCATTCCTATATTCTATAGTTCAGTTGTACAAATTTTAAACATTTAATGTATCTTTTAATTCACGTTTAACCTACATGTCTGCCTTCATCCATTTTAAAAATCATAATTCATCCAGTGAAACATCTGTATCATTTGACCTCAGGAGACTACCATAGTTTGGATTTGCAGATTTCATACTCACAGTGGGATTTTGCATAAGCCCTTCTTTGTCTTTTATATTTCCTGAAAAGTATAAGCTAGATCCAGATTTTTTTCTTTTCTTTTTCTTTGGATCCAAAATTTGATCAGAGCCAGGCTCAATCCCTTTGGCAAAACTAGAAGTCACAGGTTCTTTCATTAGGAGGCACATCATGTATGAATCCTCTCTTATGTTGTTAGGAACTATTTCTGCTCAAATGTCCAGATCCAGTAACTCACTGAGGGTTTGCATAATGGTGATATTTTATTTCCAAAAGCTTTTACTATTTAGGAATAGTTTTATAAAGAAATGCTTCCTCTCATGTTACTTGGTTACTCAATGGTTTAGTTCATATGGGAACTATTGGAAAAAGGAATTTTCACTTTTATTTTCTAAGTTTCAGGGTAATAATTTGTTTCCTCTTATTTAATAAAAGTGAACTGTATATTTAAAAATATCAAAAGGAACACATAGGTGTAAACACATTTGATGGTTTTAAACATAGTTCATTTATTATTCTCAGTGAACTGAAATTTGCCTCAGCTTTGGCCAGTGGGAACCTCTTTGGTTGGCTCCTTTTGACATGAGCTAGTAGTCTCAAGTAGCTTCTTGGATATCGGTTATGACAAAGTATTCCAAACTCATACGTTTCCCGCCCAGTCCTGGAGTCAGTCCCGCCTCCCAAGTACCTCCTCTCTATTAGCGGGAATTGTTATCCCAAGAACACAATCTGCTCACTAGGAAACTTTGTTGTCATTGCTACTCGTTGGTCATTCATTGTTCCTAGCCTAACTCAGCGGACAGAACTAGGTTATGAATTGCCCCAATTCAAATCCAGACTGCAGGGTTTTTGTGTAATCTCTTCTATATTATAATTATTTATTTATTCCATACTAAATACTGTTTCTCGTGTACACAGAGATGACAGGATTGGGGTATCCTATAATAATTCAATTGCTTTATTCCACAATACATACATAACAGCCTCATAATAACACATTAATACTACTACTGACTATATTATTACTGAAAACAGTTAGCAATTCTTTTTTTGGGGGGGAGGGGTTACATATGCTCTCTCCATTCTTTCCTCATTTTAAAATAGTTGTACTATATTTACATTATAAGAGCATATAACCTATATGTTCTGTCCCACTTCAGCCTACCTTTAGTCTTAGTTTTACTAATTATATTTTTAAGTGCTTGACACTACTTTTTCATATAAAAAGATTATTCTTTATCAAATTTATGCACAAATATAGATCAAATAGTTCTAGATGGCCTCACTTCCCTCATCGGTAAAATGGTTAAAATAATACCTATCTCATATTGATGTTTTAAGGATAAAAATAAAGTAATATATATAAATACATACTATATTTATAGGCACTGCATAAATAGTGTATACTATTTTTTGATATAGCACAGTGAGAAGAATTAGACAAATTATTCCAACTCTCTGAGATTGAGTTTTGTAAATAAAAAATGATCTTATAGTTCATATGAAATTAATGAGATACTATGCAAAGCTTCTAGCCTGTATCTGGCAAACAATAGATTGCTACTATATGTAAACAAACATTGTTTTAATTTCCATCCTCACAACAACAACAACTACTACTACTATTATTATTATTTTAAAATATATTTTTATTGATTTCAGAGAGGAAGTGAGAGAGACAAAAACATTAAATGATGATGAGAGAGAATCATTAATTGGCTGCCTCATACACATCCCCTGCTGGGATTTGAGCCTGCAACCTGGGCATGTGTCCTTGACAGGAATCGAACCTGGGACCCTTTAGTCCTCAGGCTGACGCTCTATCCATTGAGCCAAATCGGCTAGGGCAAGCCTCACTTTTAAAAGCCTTCATTATGTATATGTAGCAAAACATGAAAAGGGAGTGACTATATAAAAAGATGTTCAATTATTCTCTAACATTCAAGCACAATCTGTTTTTATGGTTATTTTATTTCTGTGAGGTATGAATGTCAAACATACTATTTAGTTATTCTAGACCAATTTCTTAGCTTACAACATTTTACTTTGATCTTTCTAGGAGACTTTGAAAAATATATGTCTCAGGTTTTAAAAGGGTATAGGATATAATGCACTTAAATTCTATACTATTAGAGTTGCTACTAATGATTTATAAGAAAGCATATCTTCAATATTATAAAAGCCAACTACTTTTTGAAAAGTCTAGAGTACATATATGGTAGTATTGCTTTGAAGAAGAAACTATTCTCCTTTGAATAATGGCAATATTGGTACTGAAATTGAAAGTTGAAATTATCCTTAAAGATGCTGTGTTACCTGAAAATTGGATATAGAACTAGAAAAATGAGGTATCATTAGGAATCCATTTAGGATGGCTATTCTTCCTGTATTTTACTTAAGTGAAATGATGATACCACTGAGTTGAAGAGCTTTGCCTGCTATAGTATCAATGTGCTTCTTCAGTAATTTGTTGATAGCTCATTAAACTCTCACCAGAAAATAATATTGTCTCACAGAAGGTAATATCTCTGACTCAGGGACTACTAGCAGGCAGTTGCATGGACACAATACCCCAATGCAGGTAATGACACAGAATGTCCCAATGGAGGCAGTGGCATGTACTCCTGTTTTAAATGTATAAAATTATAAATACAGTGAATATGTATAAACATTTTTTCAATAAAAATTTTAAACCCACTGATGTATTCTGCTCACATAACAATTTTATTTATGATTTTATAATTCTAGAAGGCTATGTGATCATGAGGCTGTCCAGAATAAAGATAGGCTTAAAGAAATTTTAAATGTTATATTATATTGTTTATTGTGAAAAAGTAAGGACAAGACAAGTCCAAACTTTACCAAATGAGGCACCAACTATTTTCCGAGAGTTGGATTTGTGAACATCAGTGGGCAGTATCTCACTGTGGTCCTGCCTTTCTTTGCTCTTCAAGAATCCATATAGATCAAGGAGTAGGTGAATTGAGAGCTATGGTTCTATTCAGGGTCTCACTCAGAGATCAGAGATGCTTCAATGCTTAGCCTATAATACCCCCATTTTTTGTTCAAGTGCATTATTTGTCTAATCTATACCAATACCACACTATACTATCATTTCTCTAGACCAACATCACTGCCATCACCACCATAAACACAATCTCCACAACCAACATTTCCACCACCACCATCACTATCACCACCATTACCACCATCACTACCACTACTATCACTATCAGCACCATCTTATCCAATACCCATTACCATATCACTATCATCACTATTACCACCATCACCATCACTACCACCAGCATCACTATCACCACCACCATCTCTACTACCACCACCATTACCACTATTACTATCATCTTCATCACCATCACCATCACAAGCTCTACAGCACCACTAGTAGCATTAATTCACCTTGATGATCACAATGTCTGTCTTCCAACCTAGCTTCTCTGCCCTAGCCTCCCATCATCTCCAACATTTCCACATTTTTTTTTTTGCCAGATTAATTATCCTATGTCTAAATTCTGGTCAGATTTCTTGCTTGCTTAAAAGCTGAAGTTTTAATTAATATTTAATCAATCCCATTCCTAATGAAAAAACTCCAAACAATTGGGTCTGGAAAGCAAGACCATTTGTATAAAAATGTCTCCAGAATAAAATTCAGAATAGGTTTCCACTGCTGCCTCTACATGTGCTCTAAGCTCCATCAAAACTAGTGCATTTGCTACTCTTTGCACATGCTTTAGGTTAGCATTTTTTGAAGTTAAGAATCAAATACTACTTTATTTGTTAAAATGCCTAGAAGTTCTCACTTTAGAATCTGGGTACTTAATATTCTTTTTTTCTTCGCTTCTGGATCTTATTGACAATTTCATGACCATAAAGACAGTCTCATTTAACATCTGGTTACTTACATATCTTACAGGGAGCTTAGAAGGACTAATATTTTAAAAATATAAAGCGATTGGCATAGTGCCTGACCCAGTAAAGGCAGCTTTATTGCTAATTCTTGCCCTGCCCATCTCAGAGTGTTTATGCAATGTTCGAGAAGAAATGTTAGTGACAGCACTTTTTAAAGTTTTTTTTGTATGTTCTCCATTGGACTGTAAGCTTTGGGGGTGGTAGCGGTAGGGATTATGTTATATTCATCACTGAATAACATGCATAATCCAGCTCAGTGTTCAGTTCAGTAAATATTAGCTAAATTAATAGCATAGTGTTTTTTTCTTAAATTGTGAGATACATGTAAATGAAATGTTCCTAAACATCATGAAAAATAACCTTTTTCTTGTCCTTCCAGAGGTCACCAGAAAGGCAGAAGGTGCCTCAGAAGCTTCCTCTGGAAAGACAAGAAAAAGGTCAGGTGCCCCAAGAGTCCCAGTTCTTCTAACCCCGAGCTTAGGTAGTACACCGCTGTCCCATGCCCTCTGAGACCTTGAATGGGGAGAGACTAGAAAAACTTTAGCTGAATACATTGCCTTTATTGAGTGTTTTTTAAAAATATATTTTTATTAATTTCAGAGAGGAAGGGAGAGGGAGAGAGAGAAACATCCATGATGAGAGAGAATAATTAATAAGCTGCCTCTTGCATGTCTCACACTGGGGATCGAGCCCACAATCTGGGAATGTATCCTGACCAGGAATGGAACCATGATCTTCTGGTTCATAAGGTTGACTCTCAACCACTGAGCTATGCTAGCTGGGCAAACTTTATTGAGTCTTCATCCCCAGTCCTGTGTACCAGTTCTTAGAAGTGGACTTCTGTCTCATTACCAAGCCACGCTATTCACCTAGGACCCACTTGAGGTGAATAAATAGTATTTCATTTCTTGTATTGATGGCCTGCTTAATACTTGTACTTTTATGATTAGATACTGCCTTGGTTTTGTCAATGATGTCTGCAATGTCCTTTTATCCTTTGAGCATCTTACAGTGTAAGCCTCATCTATTAACTTCTTGTTGACAAATTTACTGATGCTGAGTGTTTGCTCATGCATTTCCAAGGACTCCCCTGATGTGCTTTATCTATCTGCAGAAGACCCCTCACCTCCTGGTAAATAGTTGATACCAGATGCTTGCAGGGGCAAAACGCAAGCAGCATTCAGACCAGACCTCCTGCCTGTTTCAGCAGCGGTCTCCTGGGGGAATGACTGACACTTCACTTCGTCACTCTCAGTGTCCAGTAACCCTTGTAGAGTGAATGGCCTGTGGCCAAGGTGCTCACCTGGCTGATGGTGCTCATGGCTCGCATGTAGCTCTCATTCCTGGAGCGGAACTTTGGTGACGTGAGCAGGCCTGCAGGGTCAAGGCTGTCTAGGCTTCGGTTGATGGAGACTTCACTGACTGCCCTCAAGTAACTGTGACTCCGGATCTGGAGTTTGGGGGAGTGTTCATTGGAAATCCTGGAAGAGAACAATAAAAGGGATGCATTTAGTCACATTCTAAAATGTAGGCAGTAATAAAATGTGGCAGTGCTATCATTAACATGGCACCTTAAGTGCTGGGGCAAACAACATAAATGCCCTCTCATGATTGTTCAACTCCTGCATGGTATCACAGAGGGAAACCTTTCACTGGAAACCATCCTGGTCTGGTGACACTAGAGAGCAATTAAATGCTCTCAAACCCTGTAACAATTTCGCCATTCATCTTTGCCTTGGCATCTGGGGAGGGAGATGATGGCTGTGACTGCCTTGCCCCATCGTTCTGTCCTGTGTAATATGTAAGCCTTTCCTTTGTGCCCCTTTCTTTTCAGTGCTTTCACAAAATAGAAATTTTAATTTGAAAATTTCATTCAGAATGAAAAAACATTATAAAATAAGTCCAAATTATAAAAAAGAAACACACCAGAAATTTATGAAGAAAATGATAAAACTTCATGGCAGGCAATATATAAGGCCTAAGTAACTATAAAGGAAAACAATTTTCCTGTATGGAAATATGAAATATTATAATAAAAATTTCCCGAATTAATCTATAAATTTAATACAGTCGCAATAAAAATCCCCACAGAATTTTTTATTGGAATGTAACAAACTCCAAAAGTTTATATGAGGTTCATAGCAGCATTATTTATAAAACCTAGAATGTGGAATTAACCCAAATGTCTATCAATAGACTCATAGATAAGTAAAATGTGGCATATCCATGTAATGGAATATTATTGGTCCATAAAAAAAATGAAACTGTCATTGAATAGGAAACATATCTGCAACACTACACAACATAACAAAAAGCGTTAGACTGATAAATGAATAAAAAATAATGCAACCAATTCAAATAAAATGGGGAGCAGCTATAAAGAGGTAATCACAGGAAAATAGATACATGAATTCATAGGAAAATACATTTATATGCCACCAAATTATGAAAAGATGTTCAGTCTCACTAATAATTGTTGAATTATTATTGTTGAAATGTTGCTAAAAGGTAAGGTACTATTTGCACATTAAACCCATGCACATCCATGTCCATGTCCTTGGATGGTACAGACATTCTTCACAGTTCAATTGTCCTCTTAGCATTGCATAATATTGCACCCATTCTTTTAAAAAAAACATGCAGAAAATACAGAAAATTTATTTTATTTCACTGAACAGGAAATTGGAGGCAGAATACTCAAGATTAATTCAGTGGTTCCGGTTCTTTCCATCTCTCAGCTTCGCCATCTTATGTTCTGACCTTGTTTTCAGGGACCTCCCTTCCTTACAAGGTGGCTGCTGCAGGTCTGGGTCTCATGCATATTCATACACTCCATGGTAAGCCACCACCACAATGTGGCCCATAAGCATATCACTGGCAGAGGTTCTGGCCAACAGCTATTTGAAATCCCAGCCAACACCAGTCCCAAAATCCAGAATGTGAGTGATGATACCTCTAGATGATTCCAGCTCCCTCAGCCATTAATTTTCCCTACTGATGCCCCAGACATACTGGGCAGAGACAAGCCATCCTCATGTTGTCCCATCTGAGTTATTGACTTGCAAAGTCCAAGATCATAATATTGTTTTATACCACTAAGTTTTGGGGTGGTTGCATCCATTCATAAAGCTTGAACGGAGTTACTTAAATGTAATAGCCGAAAAAGATATTCTCAATCATACTAAACCCATAGAATTTGGTTAGCAGCCATTTTTTTTGCAATTATACTGAGGGAGGGACTAGATTAAAACAGATCTAAACTTTAATATAAAAATGAACCCCTTATGTATTTTACTATTACAAAAGAGAAACTTTCTAGAAATTCCCCCTCTGGACCCTTCAAATAGCCAGCTGCCAAATATGAAAAGACCTCTGCCCTGTCAAGCAAATATTTCCCATGTGTTATGGCAATTCATAGTGGGCCATTATAAATGCCCACACCAAAAGTCCCAACCAACAAACAAATAAAGAATTAATTTTCCCTTTACAATCTCTTCTATGAAGAGAGCCCTAGCTAGATGCATTATAACCTCAGGTTCACTTCCCTTTAGAACCTGAAAGGTAGATGACAGATGTGTTTCTTTGGCTATTTTGCAACTTGACCCAGAGCAATGATATTGCCATCATAAATGATGGGCTGTTCCAAATGGTTATCTTGGCAGCAATGGGGTGGTTATTTAATAAGTGGTATATATTCAAAAAGAAGAAGTGAATTTCCACGGTTTTGAAGAATGAATATCTGCTGGCTGAGATGGGGAAATGAGGCCTCATTACAACAATCACTCACCCTGGCCACTTGTAATGCAATATAGCATAATTCCCAAATTTGAAAGTGAAAAAATCATTCAGAAAGGTTTGAATAGTTCTATTTTGGTGAGTCATTCCTGATAAAACAACATATCCATTAATAATACACTAAATATAAGAAAGTGAACTCATTTATCTATACATTTAGAGAGCAGAGCCCATAGCTATCAATATAAAGGGATAGTACATACACATGCTCCTGAGTGGAAACACTCATTAAAAATACCCCCAGTAGTGCATTGATTACTTTATGTCCACCTCAAAAAAAAAGTTGACTTGCTATAAGGAAAAGGAATGTGCATATTTAGAAATATTAGCTCTTATGTTGATTACATTTTTGGTGTTGGCTTATTGAAATGATATTCATCTTCTCTCACTTTTCTCTCTACATAACTTATGGTAGATTCATCTCTCGTGGTTTATCAGAACTGAACTGAGATTTTGGACTGGTTGAGTCCCATTCATTATCACATCCTTTGAGTACACATAAAATGAGATGCCCTTAGGTGGCTGAGAGGCAGAGATACAATCAAGGTATCAGTAAGGTTGCCAATGCAAACAAGAGAAAATGCAATGATATTCAGACCATGACATTTTAAACCGAGGTTCCAAAAGTGAAAGTGACTAACTTTATTATTAAAAATGTATGTAACTTTATAAAATAAGTAAGCTCTGGGGATCTAATGTATAGCATGGTGGTAATAATAACAATATGTTGTATACTTGAAATTTATTAACAACTCGTGGCTTGGTGCATGAATTCAAGTACATCGAAAGGAAATTAATTACAAGAAATATTTTAATATCGCTATTCACCCTTTCTCTATAATAGAAGTGTCAAATTCATGATAGACAATGACCGATGGAAACACGCATACAATTGGCACCAGCAAGAGCTTATATGTATCATGCATGCATGAGTCAACTTAGCCTTTTATAGATATAGAAGATATTTTTTAATTTTTAAAATTGAGGTAAAATTGACATATAACATTAGATTAGTTTAAGGTGTATAGTACAATGATTCAATACTTGTATATATTGTGAAATGCTCACTATAGTAAGTCTAATTAACATATATCACGGCATAGTTACAATTTTTTTTCTAGTGAGAACTTTTAAGATTTATTCTCTTAGCGACTTTTCAGTACAAAATACAATATTATTAAGTATAGCCCCATGCTATACTTACATCCCTGTGACTTATTTGTGCTATAACTGGAAGGTTGTTCACCCTCCATGCCCTACCTCTGTTTTCTATATGTATAAATTTCATTTCTTTAGATTCCACATATAAGTGAGATTATATGGCATTTGAAAATAGATCTTAAGTGGGGTCATCATACACACACAAAAAAATAACTGCGAGGTGATGAATGCTTTAATTAACCTGGACATTATACCCTGTAAATATATAAAATTGGGGATGGGATCAATGGCTTCTACTCAAAGTTTATACTGACAATTCACAAGTTTATTTGTAGCACATAGCTTTCTCTGAAACTTTAAAACTAAACTTCTAATTAACTACTGTACATTGCTACCTGGAATTTCCACAGGTATAAAAAATCATCCTGACCCTATAAATGAACATATTACCTTTTCCCTCCAATTTGTTTCTTTCCTTTTATTCTACATTGAGATGAATGGCACTGAGATTTAATTCCACTCTCAGATAATGAATGGTTTAGAATGTAGAGATGCTCCTAGACATACGATAGGTATGTATCCCAATAAACTTATTGTAAACTAGAGGCCCAGTACGTGAAATTCATGCATGGGGGGGGGGGTTGTCCCTCAGCCCAACTTGCACCCTCTCTAATACGGGAGCCCTCAGGGGATGTCTGGCCTCCCTCTGCAGGAGGCAACTGGGCTGTTCAGGGGGAAAATGTCACCCCCATCACCCCACTGCTGCCGCCTCTGCCGGCCACCACAGCTGCCAAGGTGTTTTCATCAACATAGACTGCAGTCCCTTCACCACGAAAAAAATCACAACTTTCTTTAGGCATTTTCAAGATGTCTATTTCATAGGATATAACATTTCTTTCTTTCTTTTTATCCTCACCTGAGGATATTTTTCCATTGATTTTTAAAGAGCGTGGAAGAGAGAGGGAAAGAGAGAGAGAAACATCAATGTGAGAGGGACACTTTGATTGGTGGCCTCCTGCCTGAGCTCTGACTGAGCCTGCAACCTAGATACATGCCCTTGACCAGAATTGAACCTGGACCCTGTGGTTGACAGGCTGAGGCTCTATCCACTGACCCAAACCGGCTAGGGCAGGATAAGACATTTCTTAGCCCCTCTAGCAGTGGACCTTTGTTTTTTCCTCCAGGAGTGAGATGGAAAAACCCTAGATCACCTTCTTGGATTCTTATTACCCACGTTACCAATAACACTGCAAGTGGCGTACTAGGAATTTAGCCAATGAGCGGCCAGAAAAGGTGTTTCCTTTGCAGCTCACATGCAGAGGTGGGACTGTTGTGAGCCCTGGCAGGCAGGCCTGTTCTCTGCTCTTTGCAGGCCTGTCTGCTCACTGCTGTTGCTGTGGTTGGCAGGCAGGCCCTGCTCCCTGCTCTCTGCGGGCCTGCACTGCCCTGCTCTCTGTGGGCCTACTTGCCGCCACCTTGGCTGGCAGGCCCTGTTCTCTGCAGACCTGCTCGCTGACATGGTGGC